AAAAAATCAATTTTAATGGAGTCATATGGTAAGTGCATCCAGAATCAATAAGTCATTCATTCATACATACATTGTTCACATTCAAGCAGTCGACAGTAACAGTAAATACATCACCATAATTACGATCAAGTAATGTCATATTGGCTAACTCACTAACATGTTGTTGGCTACTATTATTATTATTGTTTGTAACGTTATTAATTTTCCTTTTATGGCACTCACGTATAAAATGGTTAGGATCACCACAATCAAAACATCTTTCACCCCATTTATTTGGAGTTCTAAATCTATTGATTCCTCTACTTTTAGATCTATATTTATTTCTATTATTATGGTTTTTATTACTATTATTATTATTTCCAAAATTACCCTTTTTTATTTGATCTAAAAAGAGACCTACCATAGTATACATGACTTCACCCTTATTGGACTTATGAATTTGTAAATCTAACTCTTTAAATTTTAACCCATTAATAACTACATCTAATGTTACATAATCACGTCCATATTTAATAGCAGATTTCACATCCATGTATGAATTAGGAATTGCATTTAACAAAACTATAGCACTATAATCATCAATATTTTTATCACCAGTAAGTTTTATATCTTGTATTAATTTTAAAAAATTGTCCAGATTTTCATCAATTGATTTTGACAAATCAAGTTTATAACTGAAATTTTTTTCTAACAAATATAACCTACTAGGAAGTGAAGTTTGAGTGTATAGTTCATCCAATTTATTCCATAATTCCAAAGCAGATTCTTGCTTACCTACTTTCCTAATTACATGATCTGCTAAATTGAGTATTATAATATAGTGAGCCATTTCATCTAACTCAGCTCTCCTCTCTAGAGGAACTTGAGCTACATGATCCGGCTCAATAGCTCTAATTATTCTTTGAGTGACTAAAATGCTTCTCATTTTTTGTTTCCAAATTGCAAAATTCATTTTTTCATCAAAATACAGTATATTAAAACTAGAGCTACCAACCATTTTTTGTTTTTAATAAAAAATAGATTTTATTTTCCCAAAAAGACCCGTTTCGGATTCTACAAAAAATTCAGAAAATTATTTATTTAATTTTCACACAAAATCAGATTGTTTTGCAAGATAATCACACGAAAAACAAACAATCACAGATTATCGCAAATAATCAGGCAATCATAGCAAGCAATTTAGGCAATCAAAGAAAAATATAACCTATCTATTACAACATACACTCGTGACTATTCAACCGAGGTACTCGAGAATCACTCACAAAGTGAGGATCGGAGTTTAGTAACCTTGGTTTCACAATAGCCTTTAAACCTATATGTGTGAGACTTGCTGGCTTGATCTGTTGGGTCTGAACCGGTCCGGCCTGAACCAGGCCAGTCTGAACCGGTTTGCTTTTTATATATATAAAGCTGCCCTAAACCGGTTCAAATGATTCATTCATTGAGATACAGAACGAGAACATATCGCGATTCCTCTCTTCCAGCCCTAGGCGATTCCTTCAACGTCGCCTGCGTTCTCCAGCGAGTTGGGAAACTCTCTCTCTCCTTCGACGCGCACCTTCTCCCTTGATGTTTCTACGGTTTAATTTAATCGATTTGTGCCTGTATTAGTGTCTCACGATGTATATGTTGTTCGTGGTGTAATAGGCTTGAAATCGTTGTGTTTCCGTAGATTAGGGTTCGGGTTTGTGTGTTAGTTGCGATTCTGTGGCGAGTCTTTGTGGTTTGGGTCTTGGATGTATGTTCGATGTCGGTTTGGTTGATACGTGGGTAAAACTGAGTCCAAGTAAATTGTTTCCGTAATAATAAAAGATTCTTTAAGTTTTCGTTAGATTCGGGATATTCTTATGCAAATATGAGTTGTTGATCTTGGATTAGTAACAACAAGTGGTATCAGAACTATTTGGTGTTTTTCGGTTTCGAAATCGAGTGTTATTTTCAGTTTTGAGGTTTTTTTGTTGTAAGTCTTTAGATCTACGAAAGGATCTGGTTGAATCAAACAATTTTTGGTGTTTCGATTCTTTTCCTAATAGATTTGTTAGATACCGGCCAAAATCCCACTCGATCTGTGCTTTTTAGCATCGGTCGTGTGTGATTTGTGTTGTTAGTGGCTTAATCGCTACAGATCTGTGTAGTTTGGTTAAGTTTGACACTAAATTTGGTTAGTTTGTTACAAAATCGTTGTTTTGTATTTCAAAAATTTTAAATAAAAGGTGTAAATCGAGTAAATAGTCACTGTTTTGTACAAATATGTTCTTTGGAGTCAAAATACAAAAAGGTTTTGTAAACCTTAAGAGTTGGTAAACTTTTTTAAGGTTTTTATAATTTTTCAAACTAAAATCGCGTTTGAAATCTTTAAATCTTTAAGTCTTCTCAGGTTGTGTTTGTTCATTGTGTCGATATTGTGAAATCACAATCTGTTTTCGGGGATTCTAACATTTTGTTAGAAGAGAAACAAATTTTTTTAGTTAATTTTCTTTTTTTATGAATTTTTTGACTAACCCCTATTTTCTATAAAAGAAAATAGGTTTTGTTTACTATGATTTTCCTACTGTTTTATAGAAATAAAAATTGTTTGTGTGCAAGAATAACCCCTTAAACTCATAATGTAAAAAATAAAAAGTGTTAGAGATAATTTTGTTACTTTTATTGTTAATTTAAATAGTTGTGAACAATATTTTATTGTAATGTAAAAATTATGGATACTATCATTACTTATGTTTTGACTTTAAAGAGTCACAAAATTATATGATAATTAGCTCCGTTCACACAACGTTTTTAGATGAAACAATTTTGGAGTATGATACGAGGAATTGTGTAAAATATAAAATATATTATTTAGGTTAAATATTTGATTTTTTTTTTACTTTTTGCAATAATTTTTTGATTTTTCATAATGAATGTTTTGACTTTTATATAAAATATTGTATTTTTATATTATTATTTTTTTAGAATCTTAATTAAAAAATAGTGTCGAGGGAGCAAAGCGATTCATATTTGTTAAAATTTAAAATATTGTAAATAAATATATATATATATATCTTATTTATGCCACAAATTAAATTAGACATAAAAATATTATATGACATTTTGTGACAAAATAACTAAAAGACAAATACAAATATCTATAACATTTTTATTATTTAAATTTTACTTGAAATCATGAAAAGCTCTTAGTAATTTTTTTTTATACAAATATTACATGCAAAACAATCCTCACAAAAAGTTATAACATAATACTATCACAAAATTACTATACATGATTTTTAATTGAGAATTAAAATTCACAATTTTATTTTTTTTTTTCAATTATCATCATTTTCTTTTAGTAATATATATTTATTAAAACTCGTGTTTAAATATAAATATATATATATATATTTTACATAGTAAGCAAGGCCATCAAGTAAACAACGACTTTGGAAAAGTTTTTCTTCGTTTGCATGAATTGATCCATTCATTATAAGGCCATCAATCCTCCACTCAATACAAGTGCCTGCCCCCACCCCACCCCACCCCACTCCACCCAATTAATCGTCTATTCAATTATCGATATATGTGTAGTTACGTTCTTCTTCTTCTTTTTATTTTTTTATTTATTTATATTTATATTTATTTATTTTTATTTTGGTTACTACCTAATTATACAGCCAAATTTTGTTTGTTTGTTTGTTTTTAATTGTATCCTCGTGACTGTTTCTGTTATTGGTTAATAATAATATACTGGAAAATATAAATATAAATATAAAAACAAAAACGCACCCACCCACCCACCACAGTCAGTAACATATCCCCACCGCCAACTAATTTTGCCATCGCCCTCACTTATTAATTATTGAGATATTATTTTGTTTCAATATATTTAGAATTTTTTATTTTTTAAAACTTTATAAATTCAATTTTTTTTTATATAGTATTTCATAAAATAAAATATTTATTTAAATATGAAATTATTCAAAAAAATAAAAAATACTTTAATATATAATGATATTATAATTATTTTGTTTACAAAAATATATATACTTGAGTTTGAGAAAATTTGATTTGAGTTTGATATTAAAATAATATTTGGTGAAATATCTTGTGATAGAAAAAAATATATTTTTTTCAAAAAACGCAGAGTTCAAATAATAAAATTTGAAAAAATTTGATTAAAGAAACAAACTCTTATATATATATATATAGATACAAGAAGTCCAAAAAAATATATAATTAGTAAATATTAAAAAATATATTAGTAAAAATAATTATTATATAAAAAAATAATTATATATTAAAATTAAAATTAAAATAATATAATTTAAAAAAATTTAAAAAAATATAATTAAAATTTATAATTATTATTTAAAAAAAAACAAATTATATAAAATACAAATCGAAAAAAATATGTGAGACATAAAGAGTATTATATTAGTTGATATATATTTTTTGAAATTATATGAATAAGTTAATTAATAAGATGATAGAAAAGTTTAGATAAATTGATTATGTAAATAATTATGACATATTTGTAAATAATTGTAAATTTTAAAAATATAAATGAAAGAATATGCAAAAAGAAATTGTTATCCATATAAAATACATAATTTTTTAGACAAAAATGTATAAATTTATTGGATGTAGAAAATATTTATTAATTATGACATAACATGAATATTTAATATGAAAATAATATTTGAAAAAATATTTAATAAAATCTTAAAAAATACAAAATTTTAAAAGTTTAAACAAAAGAAACATAATAAAAATAATGAATAAAAAAATTATATGCTAATTATTTTATTTATAGAGATATATTTAAAAGTTTTAATATTCATGAACATGAATATTTTAAGAAAATATAATATCAAAAATATTATTTTTTATTTTATAATAAAATAGTATCACATTTCATATATTATTTTCAAAATATTTCCAAAATAAAAATAGAAATTGAAAAAAAAAAGAAAAAAACAGAGGCTTAATATTTATTTCCCGTAAAGACAAGAGAAGACAAGACGATTACAGCTCTTGTTTATCCGCCCACCCCTTTCCCCTCTCTCTCTCTCTCTCTCCACCAACCTTCCCTTCAATGGCGAAACTGGTGGTGGAAGCTCTGGAAGCCACCGATCTCATGCCAAAAGACGGCCATGGCAGCGCAAGTCCCTTCGTCGAAGTCGAATTTGAGAACCAGCGCCACAGAACCTCCACAAAGCCGAAAGATCTCAACCCTATTTGGAACGAAAAGCTTTTCTTCAAAATCCCCAATCCCAGATCTCTCCCCGACCAAACCATCGACGTCTCCGTCTACAACGACAACCACCACGGCCACCACCGCAACTTCCTCGGCCGAGTTCGAATTTCCGGCTCCTCCGTCCCCTCCCAGCCCGACGCCGCCGTCCACCGCTACCCCCTCGACAAACGAGGCCTCTTCTCTCACGTCAGAGGCGAAATCGCTCTAAAAATCTACGCCGCCCCCGCCGACCCACTCGATTCCGACGACGACGCGCCGCCGCACTCCGAAACCGCCGCCGATCGGAGTCACCACAAATCGGCCGAGAATCATTCCCCCCCTACCGACGATAATGGCGGAAACGAGTATTTCTACTTCAAGGAAAAGCCCAAGAAGAAAAAGAAGGAAAAAGAGGTTAGAACTTTCTACTCCGTCGCCTCCGGCGGCGGCCCCCCTCCCTCAGAAAAACCCCCTTTCGTCGATTCCTCGCGGACCGATTTCGCCCGAACCGGCGGAGCACCGACCGTAATGCAGATGCAATTTCCGGCGGGGCAGAAGCCGGAGTACGGCGTCGTCGAGACGCGGCCGCCGGTTGCGGCGCGTATGGGATACTGGGGAAGAGACAAAACCGCGAGCACATACGATTTAGTAGAACAAATGAACTTCTTATACGTGAACGTCGTCAAAGCTCGGGATCTTCCGGTGATGGACATTTCCGGCAGCCTCGATCCTTACGTCGAAGTTAAGGTCGGAAACTACAAAGGCGTCACCAAACATCTCGAAAAAAACCAATACCCGATCTGGAACAGCGTCTTCGCCTTCTCCAAGGAACGATTACAGAGCAATCTGATCGAAGTCACCGTCAAAGACAAGGACATCGGAAAAGACGACTTCGTCGGAAAAGTCGTTTTCGACGTCGCCGAAGTCCCCCAGCGCGTCCCGCCGGACAGCCCCCTGGCGCCGCAGTGGTACCGTCTGGCCAATAAGCGCGGCGAAGGCCGGCCGGACAACGGCGAGATCATGCTCGCCGTCTGGATGGGCACTCAGGCCGACGAGGCCTTCCCGGAGGCGTGGCATTCCGACGCACACAATGTCAGCCAGCAGAGCTTAGTCAGCACCAGATCCAAAGTATATTTTTCGCCCAAATTATATTACCTCCGCGCACATATAATCGCGGCGCAGGATTTAATATCGCCATCCGATAAAGGTCGAATGCCGGAGGCGTTCGTAAAAGTGCAGCTCGGGTATCAAATACGCGTGACGAGGCCGTCGCCGAAGAATATGAATCCCGAGTGGAATGAGGAGTTAATGTTTGTCGCATCTGAGCCTTTTGACGAGTACATTATGATTAGCGTGGAGGATCGGGTTGGTTCGGGAAAGGACGAACCCATCGGACGAATTATAATTCCGGTTAGGGAAGTTCCGCAGCGCGTCGAGACGGCGAAGCTGCCGGATCCGCGGTGGTTCCCGTTGCAAAAACCGTCGCTGGTCGAGGAAGAAGGGGAGAAGAAAAAGGAGGTGAAATTTGCGAGCCGGATACTTCTCCGGCTTTGTATAGACGCCGGGTATCATGTGCTCGATGAGTCGACGCATTTTAGCAGCGATTTGCAGCCGTCCTCGAAGCATTTGAGGAAGCCGAGTATCGGGATACTCGAAGTCGGGATTTTGAGCGCGAGGAATCTTCTTCCGATGAAGGGTCGCGATGGGAAAATGACGGATGCGTATTGCGTCGCAAAGTACGGGAATAAGTGGGTTCGGACGAGGACGCTGCTCGATACGCTGCATCCTCGATGGAATGAGCAGTACACTTGGGAAGTTTACGATCCGTGCACAGTGATAACCGTTGGAGTGTTTGATAATTGCCACATTAACGGGAAGGACGATTCGAGGGATCAACGAATCGGGAAGGTTCGAATACGGCTCTCGACGTTGGAGACGGATCGAGTCTATACGAACGCGTATCCGTTGCTCGTTCTTTCCCCGTCGGGATTGAAAAAGCACGGCGAACTCCATTTGGCGATACGGTTTACGTGCACGGCGTGGGCAAACATGGTCGTGCAATACGGGAAGCCGTTGCTACCGAAAATGCACTACGTCCAGCCGATATCGGTTAGGCACATCGACTGGTTGCGACACCAGGCGATGCAAATTGTGGCCGGGAAACTATCCCGAGCCGAGCCCCCTCTCCGGAGGGAAATCGTTGAGTATATGTTAGACGTCGATTACCATATGTGGAGCCTTAGGCGTAGCAAAGCAAACTTCCACCGGATAATGTCGCTACTTTCCGGCGTAACATACGTTTTCCGGTGGTTTGACGGGATTTGCCATTGGAAAAACCCACTCACGACGATTCTGGTGCACCTCCTGTTTTTGATACTCGTTTGCTATCCGGAGCTCATTTTGCCGACGATTTTCCTCTACCTATTCGTGATCGGGTTGTGGAACTATCGGTTTAGGCCGAGGCTTCCGCCCCACATGGACGCCTGGCTCTCGCGAGCCGAAATGACTAACCCCGACGAATTGGACGAGGAATTCGACACGTTCCCGACGACGCGTCCGACGGACATTGTGAGGATGAGATATGACAGGTTGCGGAGTGTCGCCGGGAGAGTTCAAACTGTGATCGGAGATATGGCGACGCAGGGTGAGCGTGCGCTGTCGATATTGAGCTGGAGAGATCCGCGAGCTACGGCGATCTTCATAATATTCTCGTTGATTTGGGCCGTGTTTTTATACGTTACGCCATTCCAAGTTGTCGCCGTGTTAATTGGCCTTTACGTGTTGCGCCATCCGCGCTTTCGGGGCAAGCTGCCTTCGGTACCCGTCAATTTCTTCAAAAGATTGCCGGCTAGATCGGATTCACTTCTTTGAAACCGGAGTTGGACTGAACGATTATGGATCGAATTAAATGCGCGACTACCGGCTGCCGGATTAGTTAGTCAAATTCTTCGGCTGTTAGGGTTCGAATCGCGGCTATTGCTATCGGGGATGAGGTGACTTATGCTTTTTTTAGCGGCCAAAGCCGTCTTCTTGTCTATAAACTCGCTATGCGGTACTTGCTATATTGTTCTTCGGCTGCTGCTAAGCTTTACCTACAATGGCTACGTTTGAATACAAAATAATTTTTTAAGATAATATTTTAAATACATGTTTTGTTTTGATAAATATTTTTAGAGATTATTGGAATTTCAAAATGTATTTTATGCATGTTTTCCTAAAAATTGAATAAATTCAAAAGTATTGCGTATACACACCGTTTGGATAATAACGTCTGAAAACAAATTTGAAAATCTAGACCAACTTTTATTATTTGTTTTTAATTTTTATTGTTTTCGATCGATATATATATATTGTTAATTAAAGTATATTATTATTGATATATTCCTAAATAAGAATGAGATTAATTATCTAGATAATTAATTAATTTAATTAATTTTCATTTAAAAAAATTTAAAAATTTAAAATAAGATTAAAGTGTGTAATCAGACAAAAATTTAAAAATTTAAAATAAGATTATCAGCCATGAGGAAAGATTTATTTGTGCGTTTTAAATATTAGTAGAAGCAAAATCCAAAATAATTAATTAAACAAAGACTAAGATAAAATCTGAAAATGAGATTAAAACAAACACAAATAGGCCTTAATTAAAGGAAGCAATTAGAGCACCACTCTATCTCTGGAATTTGAGAAGAAGCAATTTCCGTTGACAACGACGAACAGCAACCAGCAGCAGCGGTCATCCCTATCCCTGTGGTGCGAATGGCCGGAGCTAACCGCATCTCAAGTGGAGATCAGTGACATATACCGGAACCGACCATCATAAAGGTCTTCTAAATCTCACTGGAACTCATCGAAAACCCCCCCGGGAAACCATCGGAAACACCCAACAAACCTCTCGAAACTAGTAACTTTCCAAAACCCCCAATCTCTCTATATCTCATAACTACCCCCAAAAACTAATCTCTCAAACAAATGGGCTAATAGATATGACATATGAGTTTGGGCTCAACAATTGGGTCAAAGGGTTTGGGTTAAAAGGATTTGGCCGATCCGACATACTAAGCTAATAAATTGACCAATTTATTTTTATCGAAAAACTTTTGAATTAGGTATTTTAATAATATTCATACTTTTTATCACTATTAACAGTAATATTGTCTTAAAAAATGATGTTACTTTTAATTTTTTTTTTGGTTCAATAAGAAAATAATTGCAGCGAATTATTTTTTTTTGAGTTTAACAAGAAAATAACTGTAGCGAAATTTTACATCATTAATAATAATAAAATTGTAAAACATGAGTGTCAAATTAGTGTTTATTAAAATTGATCTTTTTACTAAATTTATCTACTATAACGACATCTTTGAATTTTTTTTCTTGTAAATATACGATCATCATAATCATCATTGTTATTTTTTTATAATATATATTTATAAAACATACATCTATCATTTAAACAAAAGAAGTCATAGTAAAATACAGAAATCCAAAAAAATAATAAGATAAAAAATAAATCAATACAAATCAAACAGGCCTTTACACTTTCCAACATAATCAAATATTAGTTTAATTCGTATTTCATTATGCGCAATAATTTTTCACTCGATCCAATTAGCATTGGGTGTTTTTCGGAATGGTTATGCTTCGATTATTTTAGATATAAAAAGTGTTATTTATTGTAATTTTAAACTAAAATGAATAGAATTTATTCTATACGATTTTCAATAGAAATAGTATTATTGGTTGTAATTTCCAACTGAAATAACTAATAGCAATGAGTTGGGTCCTGCCAAATTTGAGGCCCGATCTAAATATTTTTTAAGACTATCGATCCAAATTATTTGTTTGGATCAAGTATGTTGATAGTAGATATGGATTTTTTGTTTTGATCAATAGTTGCAGTAGAAAAATCATCAATCGATGAAGTCAAGTGGCCTACGGCAGCCCAATTGAATTTGGGCTTAATCTCTTGAAGGTGATCCAACTGAAGACATCTAATCTAGAAGTCCAAAGAAGATGACGAACGTGTGTTGATCTCTTCTCTGAAGATTGTAAATTCCGAAATTCAGTTGTAACAAAAATGACTAAGGTGAGGATAACGATGAAATGGATTAGAAAAAAAAAAAAAAAAAATAGTTATGATGAAAAAGTAACTAGATATAGATCGGAGCTAGATGATTAAAAAAAAAATAAGTTTTAGGCGTGAATTATAAATTGAGATGTGTGAAGCCAAGAAATCTTGGAGCCAGGGAGTCGAAGATTTTAAGTGCTTAATATTGAAGATTATAACAAATTTCCAATAGATAACAAATAAACAGTAAAGAATGTAAGCATTTATTCACCTCAAACTATAAAGAAACCTTCACACCATCAAGCTATATTTTTTTAATATTTTAAAAATATCAAATAAATTATATATATAACTTATATATAACATAAATATATAATAAATTCTTTATTTGTATTCGTAAAGCTCACAAAAACTGATTCCATACGAAATAATTGAGATTGGGCCAAAGGCTTCGACCCGATTATGTATACGAGTTAACACGAATCCGACACGATAATAAACATGTCGGATTAGGGTTGAGGCTTTCAACTCAATCCAACACGACAACCTGATTATTATATATTAATATATTTATTATATATGTAAAATAATTATAATTTAATAATTTGCTCGTATATTAATTTAAACAAAGTTCAATTTTAAATAATTCAACCTAATTCATTGTACACATTACACTTGAACCAATAAAAACTAACATAACACGACAACACAGACAAAAAATAATTTAATTTGAATCCAGAATTTCGACTTAATTATGTATACAATTCAACACGAACCCGACACTATAATAAACGGGTCAACATGAACCCAACACAATAATAAACGGGTCGAATTAGGGTTGAATAATTTAACCTGTTTAAAGTATTCAACCCGACACAAGCCCGAACTTGAACCCGACACGAATCGACCTATTGTTGGCTCTAGTATTGGGCCTTGAACAAGCTCCTCTCCTGCCGGGGTATGCCATGGTTCTCATAATGACTAATCTCAAGACAACAAACATACAAATAAATCATGCTCATAAGTTGCAGCCCCCCTCAAGGAACACTACAACACTTGAGCTTATGTTTCTTGAATATAATCACAATAGAAAATCGAATGGAATGAACTTCGACTTAGTAGTTTTCAGTCCTCAAGCAAATCTCTCAATAAACATTGTAGTGTGTTAGCTAATCTCTTTCAAATTGGATTACTTGATATTCTACATCGTAGTTCAACCTTTGTAATAAATCAGATGAACTACTATGGAGACCAAGTGTTTCACTGAAAAATCTGCCCGTAATTCACTCTTGTTGTGTAGAATTGCCTCTTGAAAAACTTCCACCCACCCACTCAAATACATGTTGAATTCTGTTAATACGACAATGCTCGATCATTCCAACTATCTTCGTCACTTAGACCATCCACAATGCAAAAGTAATAAGAACTGTTCTTATGTTTTGTCTCTTTGTCACATCAGCTTAAAATTCATAAAAAGTTTTACTCAGTTCTTACTTCACATTGTAGAGCCCAAAATAAGATTTTTTAAAATTTCTCTCTCTTTTGTTTCAACAAATTTATTTATTTTATTTAATATAAATATTATACTCATTTTATGTAAGTTATAATATTTTTTATTTAATTAATATAATCATATTTTATAAATTATTAATAAAATATATAAATTTATTATGACTATGAGGGTAATAGAGTAATAGTTAATTCTCTCCGTCCGTCTGCTAATTAAATTTAGGATACTAATTACAACAGAAGTATATAAATAAGAGAAAAATAATAATTAAATATTAATTATTTGATTTTATCAAAATTAATAATAAGATAAATTTAACAATGAACAAAAAATAAATAAATTTAACAGACAAAAAATATTAATTATATACAATATATAATAAAATTTAAAACAAAAATAAATAAATAAATAAATAAGTATCTACCTTCTCTCTTCTCCGCATGAAAGAGGAAGAATGTTTTAAAATCGATATTGGAAGAGGTTCAAAATATATATATAATATTTTTGTTTTTTACTTAATTGTCAGTAACACATCATTTAAGGATGGTTCTTATTTTATAAGAACAATTGTAATGGCTATTTTTAACCGATATCACCATCTGATTCAAACATTTTTTTTAACAGATTCAAAAAATATGATATGCAATGACTTTAGTCTTTAATACAAATAAAAACAAAGGCCTTGAACATAGCTTGGTGCAGGGGAAATCACAGCCAATGGTTCTTTTCTGTTCTTTATTATTTCTCTCTCATTTCTTCTGTTTTTCCTGTATTTATTCTTGTTCTTTCTTTTCTTCTTCTCTCTATGTTCTCTTTCTTTCTTTTATTCTTCTCTCTTCTTCTTTCTTCTTCCCTCCCACCTTCTCTCACGTTTTTCTTTTCACATATGAAGCCATTAGATAGAAATTTACTAATTAAATGGATATCAATTTTCAACACTTTAACATGTTAGAACTTATCAGAAATTTAACCCTAAGCTCAAGATCTACCATGTTGTAATAATTGAGATAAGAAAGTAAGGCGAAATAAATCTAACCTTATTCCTCAGCATAGTCGGATTCAGATCTGCAATTAATGAAGGGTTTTGTGTTCTTCAAGCCTACGGCGCAACCCTCATGAGAAAACCGCTAGGGTTTTTGCCGTTACTCCCACGATGAGATATTGAACGTAATGGTTGTTGCGTCTAGACCTGAGATCACAACCCTATATATATCCCTTATTATTAATTGGTCTCATCACCCAATTAATAATTTACCGGGTTTCTGCACATTGGAGGCCCGCACTTACTAAATACATTTAAACCCAATAAATTTATAGATCACTTAATATAGGCTTAATCTGACTGATAGCCCAAATAGTTACATTTAACCCACAATCTCCCACTTGGGTAAATGTATATTGAATAACATTATGAGCTCATGAAAAATTTGCTATAAGATCCTTTAATGTATATTACCAATCTCATCTATAAATCACATCAATGCGGATCAAAGCGGCCGTCACTGCATTTATCGCAATGGGACCGATCAGTGGTCACAACACTAATATAACCTA